TCAATAAACAGACCCCTAAGAGTTCAAATCGGACGCCACGAAGCCTAGGCTGAGTACTAAGACTCTAGGCCGAACACCTTTTAAAGACCAACATTATTTGACACCCAATACTAATACTGATGAGAAACTAAGAAGTAATGAACATTGTCGAGTTTGGCTGAAGACTCTTATTCTAGAAAACGGTAATAATAGATTACTGAAACGAGACCCAGCGCTTGGTTTAAGACCGAGCCCTCTAGAAAATCGTACACTATTAAACAAGCGCTGGTCCAATACCAAGTACTTATCAGGAACAAGCGCTACTGAGATCGAACGCTTGGTCCAAGACCGAGAACTAATAAACTTACATAAAACGAATGAATATATATATATATATATATATATATATATATACACACACACACAAAATTGAGCCACCACTTATTCTTAATGAAAAATAACGATAACATCTACGACCTTAAGTAGTATATAATACATTAAATATACTGTTTAAGAAGCCTAAAGAAGGACTACACTTAGGTCGAACACTCATTCATACATATCTAATATTATAACACGATCGTTATTACCGAAATTCCTTGTATAAGAAGAACCTAATATAAACGGACGCTCGACTAGATTATCACCTTTACTCAAAATACTACAGTTGACGATCAATTCCTATCTCAACTCTATTCACCACATGCATCATTCATCCATCCACACGTCCAAACAAGCAGTACACGCATATCTCATACTCATAAAATAATCAAACAATGTATCATGCAAACATAGCAACGTTCAAACAAGAATTTAATCAAATTATATAAGCTTCTCTTACCTCTATACGTAACCAAATGCTCAACGAAGCAGAATAGAGCTCCCCTCTACCAAAGACTTAACGTTCGACAGTCACGTTTTAGGAGTACTGAACCAAACAGAAACCAGAAACACTCAGAATTATACCATCCACTCAGGCTATCAGAAATAGAGGGTTGCATGCGAGACTAAACGAACGTACTAGAGAGAAAGAAACTCATCAGCTTAGAATCACAAACCAATCGGTTTAAACGAAAGCTCTTGACGTCGGGAGTGTTCAAACGGTGCCTGAGAGGTGATTGGAAGAAGAAAATGTGAGGTTTTCTTAGAGAGAAGGTGGAGATTTTAGAGAGAAAGAGGAGAAAATGGTTTTAGCAGTTTGAAGAAGAAGGAAGGCATGCAGCGAAGTGACACGACATTTGAAATTTCGCATTAGTACTGCCGTCACCCAAGTCGAACGGTCACTCTCCTGCAACCACCTGTTTTTCACTAACTTAAACATTCATTCACTCATTGGCACATGGATCCCACTATTTGGGGTTTTGAGTGTGTTTTAATGGGTCTGACACATAAAGGAAAAGAAAATTGGATATACCAATATCTTTTTATAGGTTAGAATTGAGTGTGTTAAGCTGGATTATAATTAGAGTAGTATATGCAAAGAAGTAAAACATTTCATAAAGAAATAAAATTAGTCGTGCACGTTGGTACACTCGTTATCTTTATTGTTATTATTTTAAAAAAATCAATCTTTATTATAAAATTGTTAACCTTGTGTATAAGATTGTGAACGCTAATAATAAAAAAAATTATCATTGTCAATATAAGTGTAAAAGTCACTAATTAGGCAATGTTTATTATTAAACATACGAAAAATATATGAAACTTTAATGAAGGAAGATATATTCTTCTTTAGTAGATATCGAACAAAGTTTCAATAATATAAAGAATTGAGCATAAGAAAATTATTATAAAAATAAGAGTTTATTTGATAGAGATAACACTTGATAGGATCTTTTTAGTATAAAGTATTTGGGTAATTGTGTGTTATTGGTAAATTTGTAATTTTTATTAAAAAAATATACTGTAAAAGCTTACGATTTTGTAAAAAAAATCACATGAGTTTACAGTTTTTTCCCTAAAAGATATCACAAAATTTGTAACTTTATAAAAAAAAATATAAGAATTTGTAATTTGTATAGAAAAAAGTGTACGAGAATAATTTGTAATTTTTTCCATGAAAATGGTAAAAGAAAGATTTATAATTTGGTCCACAAAAGTTATAGGAAAATAGACAAAGATTTGCAGTTTTTTTTAGAAACAATCATACAAAATATTTGTCGTTTTTGACAGAAAAATAAATAAATGTTAAGTAATATTTTTTTAAGTATTCATCAATATATCAATATAGAAATTCTAATGTTAAATTTTTTAGGTGATTTTCTTTAAATTATTTTCTTAATACTAGATTCTAAATATATTTATCTAGTTTTTTACCTAAAATTTGTAAGTACCTATTTTAATTTTACTGGAAAAAAGGGTTAAAATAAATAAATTTTGTATAAGTTAACTAATTTGTTTTTATAATTTTGAAGATAGAAACGATTTATTTAAAGGGAACAAAAATCTAAATTATTATAGGGAGCCTTTTGAATGACTTTTTTTTAAGAAAAATAAAGAACAACCCATTAAAAAAATCAATAATTATTTTTAAAAGAAATAAAGTATGATATTCCAAATTTTATGTTAGAATTGGGTGTGTTAATTAGAATAGTATTATAATTAGAGTAGTATATTCAACTAACTAAAACATTTCCTAGTCAATATTAATATATATATATATATATATATATATATATATATATATATATATATATATATATATATACAACT